TTTTACGAGTCGCCATTTGCTTTCTTTTTCCAATTCTTACAAAATATTTAAAGTCAACTGTGTCAGATGAAAAGGGGTAAATAATCATTTATTTTGTGCACAGATGCCTATAAAAGCAATTATGTTGTTAAAACAATGCTAAAAAATCTAAAATTCAACAAAAATTTTTGCTACTAGGTTAATTTTTTATTATTTTTAATATATTAAAGGAAGTTTGATCGGTGGGGGAAGCGGCTATAGATTTTTAAAAATGTAAAAAAAAACTGTTGTACGGACATACTCGAGCGCGTCAGATATTAATATCATCCATGTCCTACGCATTTTTAAAAACTGTCGTATGTTAATCTGATCGTTTCCATGATGGGGGTGGTTAAACGAAAGGGTTGAAATGAAAAAAAAAAATTATCGAGCGCGTCAGATTTTTTGAGGGGATGTCAAGTGAACCTAAAAAAAAGCTCTCATATAATAATCTGACGATTTGGATGTAACGCAAACGCGTGACCATTATTAGAAAATGCAAAAAAAAAAATCGCCATTTTGAAATACTCAAGCGCGTCAGATTAAGATATATATGATTCATCATTATGCCCCAGACGTGATATCTCATAATCTGACGATTATCTGAAGGGATTTACTTAAACTGACAATTAAAATTTTTTTTTCTTAATTTTTTCAAATTATTGAGCTTAATTAAATAGAGAAGCACCGGAGTTAGCATGCAAATAAAAAAGTGTATGTTTTTTTTATGTAGAATACTTATATTTATAAGAAAATGATTATATGAAAATTTAATTTTTACAGTATTTTTTTATTAATTATCATCTTAATCGCTAGAATCATCATCCTGTTCTTCTCTTAGTAAATATGTAAAAAGTGTAATTCACAAAATTTACATTAAAATAACAAAATAAGCAAAAACGTTGGAAATACGATGTAAACAATATCACGCCACGAACGAGTCTGTGTCATCAGCTGTCATGGCGTCATGGCAACCGAAACCAGAGTGGGGACAGAGTGAGAGAGTAATATATAGAAAAAGAGTGAGAGAGAAATAGTGATGCGGACAAGGAAATATAGTTATCACGCATTAAATCTTATCGATAAATTTTTATTACTTCGGCTTGTGAAAATCGTCAGATTATATATTTTTCGTAATCCTTGAATGATTCCCTTCAAAATAAAAAAAAAATTAGCCACGCTCGAGAATGTCCAAGTGACGTTTTTTTTTTTACAACTTTGTAGCCTTCCCCCTTCTTTACGTCACTCTCAAATTGTCAGATTAGAGGTATGTACACCTTTTAGCATGTAACTAGCTCACCTTACCTTAATCTGACGCGCTCGAGATTTTCAGATGATCAATTTTTTTTTACTAATCTGATCCTTCGTCTTTGCCGTGCGGCCATTTTTATAGGGCTCATACTTGGTCCAGGTACTTAACTGGGTACAAGGTATCCCCCTGTATATTAATCTGCCGCGCTTTAGTAAATCCCGAAATCCCCGCTTCGGCTCCCCAACTACTAGATTTGGTATACCTACCTAAATATATCTTCTATTTATTGTTGACGATAAAAGTTGAAGATCCAAGAAGTACTATAGCTAGTGTTGTAAGGGGTGTCTAAAGCCAATAATAATGAGTATACATTATATTGCGACTCAACACCTAGAGAGTTTGTCCATTCACATTATTAGGCTTTACGCTACTTAATCTGTCCCACGAGGGACTGTCCAAAGGGAAAAGATTCAAACTTAAATAACTAGGTATTTATTTGAATTTTGTAGTTCATAATGAAGACTCCCCTATACTTACAAGAAGTTTCTTCAAGACAGAGTGGACTAAACCTAAATTTGATATTTGCAAACCATACGCTGATGCACCCAAACAGACACCGAGAAAATCTGGCGCTAAAGCCCGAAAACAAAAAGAGACACCGGTATTACCAGCACAGAATATGGGTATGAGATTGATTTGCATAGACAAACCGCAAAGGAACTTGTCAACATCTTGCGTAAGTAGAGGACGAACAGGAAATTGCGGCGCCAATATTCAAAAACATTGTCAAAGTTTGAATTTGAATTTAGAAGAGCTGTTAATAACGCCAATGGCGACTATAACATACATCGTTTTACAAAGCAATTCTTTGTAACTCAAATGTGCGAAATGGTTAATTTAGAAAATTGTGTTAATGTAAAACTATTATCCTTTTATGTGAATAAATTAAAAAAATATATATATCTGACTGCATTTAATTATTCTATACCTTGTTTGTACCTACATAAAAACTCTTTTCCAGTATTTAGCTGCAATGATTAGCGTCATCATGAATCAAAGATGACAAATTATAAATGCGTGGCACATAAGTAAGGGGGCGTCCATAAATTACGTGAGATGTTTAAGGGGGGGAGGGAGTCGAGTCCGGGCCTCACGTTGGAGAGAGGGGGGGTCTCGGCAAATATCACGCAATTTTTAAAATAAGGCTCGGTGCGGGGAATCCCTCATAGAGTGACAAGTCTAAGGTTGAGATCATTCACTAATTCGTTGGAAAGAAAATAATTTCATTCGTACTTTGACATTATACATCACTCCTGATTGTCAAACCACTATACTCGTTTTATACCAAATAGCTCAATTTAATTTGAAGTTACGATACAATGTAACCCGTCCTTTGTTTCAGCTGAACGTGTGACTCGATGAATGAGAGCAATATTGATTACTAGTCTCTAACTAGTCGTAAATAAAAGTACTAAGCGAATTATTTTTTTTTCTTTTTATTAAAAAAATCCAACGTGTTTAAATAAGAAACCCACATTTTGAAAAATCTCACGTGAGATTTGGGGATGGGGGAGGGGATTGAATAAAATCTCACGACATCTCACCAGGGGGGGAGGGAGGGTCAGAAAATTTGAAAAAACACCTCACATAATTTATGAGTCGCAATATAATGTATACTCATTATTATTGGCTTTAGGCACCCCTTACAACACTAGCTATAGTACTTCTTGGATCTTCAACTTTTATCGTCAACAATAAATAGAAGATATATTTAGGTAGGTATACCAAATCTAGTAGTTGGGGAGCCGAAGCGGGGATTTCGGGATTTACTAAAGCGCGGCAGATTAATATACAGGGGGATACCTTGTACCCAGTTAAGTACCTGGACCAAGTATGAGCCCTATAAAAATGGCCGCACGGCAAAGACGAAGGATCAGATTAGTAAAAAAAAATTGATCATCTGAAAATCTCGAGCGCGTCAGATTAAGGTAAGGTGAGCTAGTTACATGCTAAAAGGTGTACATACCTCTAATCTGACAATTTGAGAGTGACGTAAAGAAGGGGGAAGGCTACAAAGTTGTAAAAAAAAAAACGTCACTTGGACATTCTCGAGCGTGGCTAATTTTTTTTTTATTTTGAAGGGAATCATTCAAGGATTACGAAAAATATATAATCTGACGATTTTCACAAGCCGAAGTAATAAAAATTTATCGATAAGATTTAATGCGTGATAACTATATTTCCTTGTCCGCATCACTATTTCTCTCTCACTCTTTTTCTATATATTACTCTCTCACTCTGTCCCCACTCTGGTTTCGGTTGCCATGACGCCATGACAGCTGATGACACAGACTCGTTCGTGGCGTGATATTGTTTACATCGTATTTCCAACGTTTTTGCTTATTTTGTTATTTTAATGTAAATTTTGTGAATTACACTTTTTACATATTTACTAAGAGAAGAACAGGATGATGATTCTAGCGATTAAGATGATAATTAATAAAAAAATACTGTAAAAATTAAATTTTCATATAATCATTTTCTTATAAATATAAGTATTCTACATAAAAAAAACATACACTTTTTTATTTGCATGCTAACTCCGGTGCTTCTCTATTTAATTAAGCTCAATAATTTGAAAAAATTAAGAAAAAAAAATTTTAATTGTCAGTTTAAGTAAATCCCTTCAGATAATCGTCAGATTATGAGATATCACGTCTGGGGCATAATGATGAATCATATATATCTTAATCTGACGCGCTTGAGTATTTCAAAATGGCGATTTTTTTTTTTGCATTTTCTAATAATGGTCACGCGTTTGCGTTACATCCAAATCGTCAGATTATTATATGAGAGCTTTTTTTTAGGTTCACTTGACATCCCCTCAAAAAATCTGACGCGCTCGATAATTTTTTTTTTTCATTTCAACCCTTTCGTTTAACCACCCCCATCATGGAAACGATCAGATTAACATACGACAGTTTTTAAAAATGCGTAGGACATGGATGATATTAATATCTGACGCGCTCGAGTATGTCCGTACAACAGTTTTTTTTTACATTTTTAAAAATCTATAGCCGCTTCCCCCACCGATGAAAAGGTATATATTATATGACATTATTTTTTTGTTATCATCTAAGCTTCGCAACCCAATAGGTCTTTATGACGCTCGAGTAAATCCCGATTTAGCATCGTGGGCTCCCCTACTATAGAGTGTGATCTACGCCGAGCTTTGCGTAAGTTGTTATGGAGCTATGGACACTTGATCGATTATAATTTGTTATACAGCACGGTCGCCAAATAGAATGATTCGTACAACGAACCAGCACTACTTCTCTTTCACTCGTACGCAAATATAATGCTATTACGTTCGCAGATTTATGAAACTTAAACGTTTATGACATCTATCAGGAGCAACGAAAGCAATTCTCTATTTTCGGCAACCGTGCTAAGTATGGTTGTAGTGGGTTGTAGTATTTTGAATTGCCCTTTAATGTTGAAAATGGTTATCTAGACTTTTTAAGTGCAACGCTTTTTTATCACTGCTGTACAGGCAGTGGCGGACTTAAGAACCCCATGGGGGACCCGGAACAGCTTCGGTCTTCAGACCCTGGCCGATAACTTTTTCCAACGAGGGCAGTAACTTGATATTCTCGTCTTATGTGGAGGAGAGTAGATAAGAAACCAGATAGATAAGACGAGATTTTCCTGATTTCCCTGAGTATAAGACGCGTTCAATATAGAGGAATATTAATACTGTGAATATAATACAGATAGCTGTAGTATTTCACGGTAGTAAAAGTAAAAAAAACTACCTTCGAGGGAATTTGCAGCCATATGGAGGCCCCCGAGGACGAGAGGCCTGGTCTGGACTTATCTCAAGATCATCAAAATTGAGCCATTCAAAATAAAACAAAGAACTAGCTGGATTACATTTTATTTTCGCTGATTATCATAACATTCTGTACACTTCTACTTTTATTATTCATAATTTATCAGATTACGAACAGGTTGTGAACGCTATCAAAAAATTGTAGAAGGCCGAAAACGATCTTTTTGGTAAACTATTTGGCTTCGGTAAAGTTTGACAAGGATGGATGTCACTGCATGGCGGATTCAATCGAGGCGGTGCATCCTTGCAACCATGCTTCGGGCATACTAAATCCTTTTTTGATTGTTTTTCCGGGATTGGCCATGAAGGTATTGGGACCCATGGGTCATACGTCCGCGAATACTCAATGTTGTCCATTAATATCATATGAGGAGGCAATATTTCATTTTGTGCTTGAATTCTGGGGAACATTAATTTATTGCTTATGTTCTGGAGTTTTAAAGCTATTTCATCTTTTAATTCATTTCTCATGTCTATGTTGTATTTGCAAGTTATTATTGGTAACATCGATTTTCGAGGAATATGAAACTGTGGTCCATAATATACGAGTAATATAAGTGTGTCGTGTATTCCAATCGATATGAACTTATCGCAAGGATTTTTCTTAGCTGGTGGGCAAGATGGTTTAGGTGCACATGGATTCGGAGTACAAGGTGGTGAGCATTTTGGCTTACAAGGATTTGGACAGGGTGCTTTTGGAGGTGGGCAAGGTGGCTCTGGGGGTGGAGGACATGGTGGACATGGAGGAGCTGGCGGTGGTGGACATTGTGGCTTTTTAGGAGGACATTGTGGCGCTGCGGGTGGACATTTGGGTGGTTTCTTTCCGCATTTTCCTACAGCTGGATCGACGTTTGGTGCTGTTTTCATGTGCAATTCAACACCTCGACAATATTCAATCCGATTGCGTGCTCTAACCTTCTTTAATAGCTCTGACAGTGATACTGCCTCTTGAGGTTTTGATTTTGGAAAGTCCACGGTAGGTAGGGGGTTTTCAAATGATTCTTTTGGTACATCTATTAGCGTTCCTTTATCTATCAAGGGCTTAACCAACTTTTCTGGTGGTATGATGTTTGGTGTCACCGAATCTTTTATTGTAGTGGAAGTATTAATCTGTTTATCTGGTGAAAAAATCAGCCCTTTAATTTGTAATCGACCTGTTTCAGCTACTATGACTGGTTCAATATTCGTAAATTTATCATTTTCTTTAACATTAATATTCCTTTCGTCTTCCTTTGACTCTATTAATGGTTGTATTTCACTTTGTATATTATAATTATAGTTTTTGTATAAGTTATTTTCAGCTACAAGTATTTGGTTTGGATGTTCATCGGGCTGAGATTCCACTATATTATATTCTAAAGTCGGTCTTGTACTTTCGGTCCCAATAAATGTATCATAAATATCATCTGTTTGCTCTGAAACTTTCGCAAGTTCAAGTTCATCTATGGAGTCATCTTTCGTGGTAAATTCAGTGTTATCCTTCACATATGCATCCTCTATCTTAGTGAATTCGTTTGTAGTCCCGTCAACTTGACCGCTCATTGTTTCTTTGCAAATAACTAATGGACCAGTGACCTGCGATTCAATTCCCTTTACAAAATTTCCATCTGTACTTTGATTTTGATCACTAAACTGAAATGCATTTACTTTTGAATTAAGATTGGAGTCGTCCGGTAACAGTTTTAAAGATTTTATTTTATCATGGACAAGATGTTCAACTCTAGTTTGAAGGAGGTTTTGAATAATTTGTCTATTTATACTTTCTGTAGTTTTCTCTGGTTCTACTAAGCTTGAATCTTTTATTTCATAATGTTCTTGATTTCCAGCGTTATTTTCATTATGATGCTCATGGACTTGATGAACTGGTTCTTCGATAGTAACGGATATATGCTCGACTATATTTATATGCCTTAAATTTGACTTATTATCTCTCTGTCCAGCGTTATCAGGCGAGTTAGTTGATTTTATAGTTTCATCTGTAGGCACGTTTGTTGCGAACATGTGTGATAACAACTGATTATATGGCATTTCGTTTTTGGGAGTAATATGTTTGTAAGAGCCCTTTGCAAAGCGTCTTTCAATTTCTTTACTGGAAGAGTATTCAGCTTGTCCTCTTTCTTTATGAGAGTTCATAAATCCAACTCTTTTACTATCTACTTTAATACTATCACTATTATATTTGCCAGTTGTAAGTCCAAAAGGAGATGGTAACTCAATCTTTTCTCCCATTGTGTCTTGATTTTGAATGTTCGTTAAATCTAAATCAGTCTTTTCCACGGGTCGCCTTGGTTTCTTCATAATTTCAGCTTGACTGAATTCGTTATCATCAATTTTTTTCTTAGACTCACGTCCTGACGTAGGTGGAACACCCAGCTTTTCCATTTCTTTGAGAAGACGCTCATCGATACGACCGCTAGGGGAATTTAGACAACGTTGTGCTAATTCATCGAAATCAGGAGATCCTTTTATAATACTGTTTTTTGAATGATTGCTTGTATTTTTTCTTGATGAAAAACAGAGTGTTTCAATATTTTTTGTGCTTGCTACTTTTTCTTCTTGGTTGTTTCTTCCTAATATCTTAGGTAACACATTGAAACCCTCAATTTTTGGCTTTTGTGCCTCAACAAGGGGTGTCTCTTCAATAATTTCGATTTTCTGTACTAGTTTCTCTTCATTTACTTTATTTGTTGTGGCCTGTAAAGTTTCTATTTGAGTTTGATTTTTTTGAACTATAGTACTTGTATCTACTACATCGTTATTGTCATCTCCAAATATTTCTTTGATTAATCTGCGACATATTTCACATTTATCCTCTTCGTTCGGGGGTCGACGAGAAGATACTATATAGGTGAGTCCTTTAGATTTTGTATCCAATTCCGTGAATATGGTTTCGGTAAATGGAACATTTGGAGCAAACACAAGATCTATTATGTGTTGACATTTTTCTTTTTCACTTTCTAAACTGCACTCTGTTTTTGTGGTATTGTGTGCTCTTTTTTGATCGAAGAGTGACACTGAAAAATAGCGAAAAAAAAAAACAAAATGTTAACGACATCAGATAGTATTTTTGTATTTATATTTTCGTAACTTAACAAGGCTAATTTTAAAATTTTATAAATAAATAGTAAGTAATTATATATATCTCGCAATAGCTTTTCGCTATTTTTCCGTATAACTATCTCTCGGATTTACCTACTAAAAAGATACGTAAAACATGAAATCAGTAACCGTCATATGATATCACTTGTGACTCTTTCATAGGTGTAAACTAACTGAGATAGTTTTATTAAATTGCAAAATCTGTAGCACGGGCTGGCATTTCTATAATATGTATACGAGGGCAGAGTTCGAAATAATGTGAGTGATGACAAAAGCGCACGGATTTGTGACTTGTATAATATCCTCATATTTAGTGCCAAAGCAATTGCTTATGGCATCCAGTTTTGGGAGCACCAGAAATAGCACAGGAAAAGCTGTTTGAGTATCTCTTTTCATATTTATACATATTCTTAGGTAGAGATGTAATAATGTATTTCTTTGAATTAAACCTGTATTTCTTTTTAAATAACGATACTAGTTTATTATAGATGGGAGATAAAAGGATCGATGAAATTCTTAATCCGGCACTGTTTATAAAGCTGCGTCCTAATTTTTAAGTATATGGATATGACTGAATTACTATAAGTACTTACATTTTTCGAATTTTCCTAGAGTGCTGCGAATATCACCTCTAAACAGACGAGGTATAAATGCCAGTGTACACACTTGTTTGATTTTAGATATCGTACTGCTTATCATTTTGTTTAAATAATTTAGTTGAATGATAATCAGCGAAAATAACTACATTTTTCTAACAAATGGATAGAAATCGGTATTAGATTTTTTGTGCAAGAAATTTGATCTGTCAATTTCGCATTTGTTCTGTCATACCGTTTTTGATATTCTTTCTGATTCTATACACGATATCGTTACACAATTTATTTCTCTAAAAAAGGATGCATGTAAACAGAATGTATACTTTTTATACGTTATTGCTTGGAAGAAATTGCTTTTACCCGATAATGCCACGGCTGTATTGAAGTGTTCGTTTATTTTTAATAACCGCTATGATTCTAAAGATTTTAATCTGACCATAAGGAAATTTAAAAAAAAATTACGTAATATTTACTTTTATTACAGTATTAACTGGAACGTAAGTCAATTTGGAACCTTAACTTCTAAGAACATTTATTTAACATAACTTCAAAACGCATCTCGACGATATGTTTATGACTATTATAAAGATAGGTAGATATAATAATGACTTCTTTAATGCTTTTTTTATTAAAATTCGAAATTCCAAATGTCCAACTGCTTAATACACTTATACAAAATTATTTTCTGGGTATACGCTGAGAGCTAAATTCACGACGTAGCCGTATTTTTCGAACCAACGTTTTTGCCACCATCAGATACCGACTGACACTGCAGACGTGCTGCTTTTAAAAGTGTGGACGTTATGCAAGGTGGGAATTTGGAAATTTACCACGAATTAAATAATAAATTATTATATTATTATTGGCATAGACATAATGATATTAATAGCAACATATTAGAGTTAAAATAAACTTTGAAGCACCTGGAATCTTAAAATTGGTTATAGTAAATAAAAAATAAAATTTGAGTTCTTCTTTTATTAATGGCTTATTTGTACATTTCACATAATTCTGCCAATGTCGAGTGAATAAATTAATTTCTACATGTAAAATGAAATGAATAAAATAAACGACATATAATGTTTACACTCAAAATCGAGTTTAAAAATTAAAACGAACGAGGAAGTATTAAAAAAAAACGAAAGCACTAAAAAGCACCCATTAGATGGCGACTCTAGCAAAAATTGATTTTTGCAGGAAACGAATGGACCAAAGATAGTCATTTCCGTTCCTTTTAACTAACATTTTAAAAAACTGAAATTTGAAAAGTTCGAAACTTATATATCAGTACAAATACGAAAAAGTACAAATAGAATCTGAGTAGTTTACTGAGTTTTTAAAACTAATTTACTTTTTAAACTTGAAAGAAAACCGGAAAGATTGTCATGGAGAAATAAAGAACGTACCGTAGCGACATCTAGTTTGATGTCGGGAACTTTTTTTTTTTAAATAAAAAAAATGAATAAATGTTCTGTACTCTATGGTTTGTTCCTCAGGGTTGTTCTTATCACCGGAGGTTGAAGCCAGTGACATTATTAAAAAAGAAAAGGAAAATAACAAAAATGGCTGAGGAACAGGTGAGTATCAAAATATATGTTATTTTGCTTGATTTTAACTGACATAAACGAAAATATACTTTGTAAGTTACAATATGAAAGTTTTAAAAATAGTTACGACCTAAATAAATTGGTTTCCCGCTCATGTTATAAGATTTCTTGTTAACATTTCCGGAGTTGGTATAGCTCAGAGAGAGCTTTCTTTATTGTTTTCACGTTTATGTTCCTTTCAGATAGTTTCAATAAGCAAGTAGTTGTATGATTAATTATTGTATGTATCATGCAACTAAAAAAATACCGGTGTTTTGGTTATATTTTGATGTTTTAGGGTTGACAAAGTCGTTATCCTTGAAATGTAATCACAGTCTGATGCGAGTCTTGATGTACCGAAACTTTCGTATCGCTTAAAATTGAAGAAGTTATGTTCATTTCACCCAAAATCAGATATAATTCATAGGTTTATTAAATTATTTGCAACCATACTATTACAAGGTATTTTCATTTTATGTCAACATAGTATTAAATTATATTTTTTATCTATGAAAATAGTTTTTGATTATTATAAATATTATGATTCTGCTTATACTTTTACAGTATTTCTATCAGACTTTTTCTATAAAGATTACTATTTCTTTTGGTAGGATTTGCTTTTCATCCTATTAAGGATGAATTTCTTTATTAGATGTTAATGACAAAATTGCTTACTCTTAAGCTTCACCATTAGTTTGTAAATCTAAAACAAGATCCTGTCCTATGCCTGTGAACTTTGGCTAGGCTATCACTGACTAATAACTAATTGGCATGTACAACTGATCATCAAAAGATGCAATAAAACTGTAAAATATGACCAAAATCACTTGCATTCTTTTATATGATATGTGAACCAAAGGTATCACAAATAACAAACTCATTTTCTTTAAAAATAATGAACAAATTGACTGGATTATTAACTGGTGTGTTTCAACACAAATATAAAATGCTAATTCAGCAAAATATATAAAATACAAAATACATGAACATGAGCTTGTTTTATAAATTTGTTTTACTAGTTTTCTGCCAGCGACTTCACCCACATGCTCCTGTATTATGCAGACGTAGGTGTTCACTAAGACGGGATTTATGATATTCAACCCATAAGGGAGTAAATTTGGGGATGCTTTCATTATTCATTCATTCATTTATGAATTTTTCTCATTTCTGGAGTTAAAACTAGATCACGCAGGCGAAGCCACTGGTGGAAGGCTAGTAAAAATATAAATTCAATAACTAAATCCCACTACAGCCTCATCACACTCTAAAAAGTTTGAAACAAGAAATTTGTTTTATAGAGATAGCTATACTATAATAGTGATGACCAAAGGACAGAGTAGTTTTATGCCACTGATCATAATAAAACAAACTGTTGCTGCACATGACTATGCTTAAGAAATTACACTGTGGTTGTTTTTTTCTATGGCAATATCTCTGCAACTCATCAATTATTTGTGTTTGCTTGTGAAGAATTCACTCCGGCTGGATCAGAAAAGCTGATTGAGCTGCAGGTTATGACAGATGAGTAGAGGTATCTTCCATGATAGTTTCACTACTCTGTCATATCCCTGCAGGATGTGATTAGCGGTTTCTTCTGCCTCCATTCAAATGTGGTTGTTATAATTTGCAATAATAAGTAATAGCACCTATTACTAGGCACAATATTGCTTTAATTAGCTATAGTTTGTGATGTACATCTGGGAATATTGCCCAAAATTCCCAGTTGGTTTTTTGTCATATTTCATACTAGCCGGGTGCGAAGTAGATGACGAAAAAACGAACCATTGTCAGACAGGATAAGGAAAGGATAATCTATAGTATATTAAATCAAATTCCTCAGAGTTTGTTATACCATATTGATGATATTTTGCATATTTGCTGAGTATTAGTAAAGGGTTTAGCCGGATACGTATGACGAGTCGGCCCCCAAATGGGAATCGATAGTGAAACTTATGTTTTAATATAGACTTGATGTTCAAACACGATTTATGTACTTTTCGCGACCGACTTCCGCTTTGACCTTGAGATAGAGAGCAAAATATCCGTATGCTTGACTATTACTGAATGTGATATATCTCTGAAGCTAATTAAGATAAAGAAGTGAAACTAACGCGAGGTGTTAGGTTACATTACAGAGTATATCACATATATTTTTTTATAATTTTTAGAATAAAAAATTACATTAAAAAAATAAAAATAAAAAAAAACATGTTTTTTTTTCTGAGTTCTCTGTGACTTACAATCACGAAATTAATATATGTTATGCTCCTTTGTGTGCTCTATTACCCATAAAAATTGCGTGAAAAAAAAGTTGGTGCAACACAACGAAAAAAAATTATATGTGATTTCTGTCTTATGGTATACCCCTGTATTATAAGGTTTTCACATTACATCATTGTTTTTTTTTTCGAAATTTCAACAGCTCGATAACAAGTTCGAACTTGTTATCGAGCTGTTTACTGCATCGTTTGTTTAGCTAAAGTAGCAGTCATTTGTATTACACAAGAAGGCAGTTTGGGACTCAAATTCTGTCAGAGGTATTTTGTATCAGCATTTTGAAATTATTAACTATCGAACCAAATCATTATTAAGTAATAATGTCGAGAAAGTGTAAAAATTGTAACAAGTACCTGTGTAAGATTCCTGGTTATAAAAAAATTATAAAGAATGAAGAAGAAGCTAAAGTGTTTAGTGACTGTTTGAATAAAATCGTAATAGTTAATGATATTTTTTGTAAGAAGTGTCGACTTATCCCATATATTAACAAAAAAGCTTCTACTTCTAAATGTGCAGCATTTAACTTGGCCGAAATAATGGACGATCAAAATAATCTCTCAGTACAATATGTGAAATCAGCACCTAATATCATCAAAGCAGAAGTAAAATCAAGACATATAAATAGAAAAGTCTATCGAATTTACATATATTTCCGAAGGTAATGACTACAATAGTATTCTTCGTTATTGCTGTGATTGCCCCAATGGCAAACGTACAGTGGGATGCTGTTCTCATGTAGCAGCTATTATTTATCATCTATCATATGGATGATATTTGTCCAAAATCGTACGTCCGGATGAGGTCCTAACTAAGTTATTTGCGACTCAAAGTGTTCCGATTGTAATTAATTACAACAGTGACGATGATTAATATTTTGTTTCTTGTATTTTGATAGACACGAAAAAGTAATAATAATAAGTATTGAACACTGGCTGTTTTTTTTTTCATTTCTTTTTTAACTATCATCCCATGTCTTAAGACTAGTTACTTATGTTTTAAAACAAGCTGATGTGAAATTTCGAAAAAAAAACAATGATGTAATGTGAAAACCTTATAATACAGGGTTATACCATAAGACAGAAATCACATATAATTTTTTTTCGTTGTGTTGCACCAACTTTTTTTTCACGCAATTTTTATGGGTAATAGAGCACACAAAGGAGCATAACATATATTAATTTCGTGATTGTAAGTCACAGAGAACTCAGAAAAAAAATATGTTTTTTATTTTTTTTTATTTTTTTAATGTAATTTTTTATTCTAAAAATTATAAAAAAATATATGTGATATACTCTGTAATGTAACCTAACACCTCGCGTTAGTTTCACTTCTTTATCTTAATTAGCTTCAGAGATATATCACATTCAGTAATAGTCAAGCATACGGATATTTTGCTCTCTATCTCAAGGTCAAAGCGGAAGTCGGTCGCGAAAAGTACATAAATCGTGTTTGAACATCAAGTCTATATTAAAACATAAGTTTCAATATCGATTCCCATTTGGGGGCCGACTCGTCATACGTATCCGGCTAAACCCTTTGCAGTCCTTAATATTTTCTAATAAATAAGCCCGTGTTTGTTTTTTGGGATTGTTTTCTAGATTTTATTATATCTCTAAGAATAAAATTGAAATAAAAAAATAATGCAGTTATCTTTTATTTAAAATTACAATAATATTGTCTAAATAGTAAAGTGTTTGAACAATTAATATTTAATTAAGACTAATTAATTATGAATGTTTAACATATAATCTTTATGTCTTTAAACTGTTTCGCTAAAATTCATTGTTTACTTTTATTCTTGTTTGAAAGCTGTGCCGTGTGTGATTGCTCGATTCAAGTTTTTATAATTTATTTTGTCATGTCATGTTTAAATGAAAATACACAAAAAGTACAAACACTACATTCACAAATTATTGTCTTAATAATAATCATGAAATGCATTTTCATGAAGTCCGCAATGAGAAAGTCCATGTGTATTATCTGAGATTTTGTGGTTTTATATACTTTATATGGCCAATAAAAATATCAACATTATTATCGACACTATAGATTTACATGATTGAAAAGAATCTAAGTCAACTATGATATTTAATTTAACCGTGAGAGAGCCACGCTTCGGCATGAATGGGCCGGCTCGACCGGAGTGATACCACGGCCTCACAGAAAACCGACATGAAGCAACGCTTGCGTTGTGTTTCGTCGTGTCAGTGAGGGTACCGGAGGCCCAACCTCTCCTTATTCCCTGCCCTCTACTCCTCAACCCTTCCCTCCAAGGCCGGCAGCGCGCTTGTAGCCCCTCTGGTGTTGCATGTGTCCATGGGCGACGGTAATCACTTACCATCAGGTGATCCGTCTGCTCGTCTGCCCCCTATCCATTTGACATGAATGAATGAATATTTATTGAACACATACACCATTTGACAAATTAAAAAATACATAATAATAACTAAGACATAATACTAATTTAAAATATATATATATATATATATATATAATAATAATATGAAAATCTTTAAATTTACCTAAATTCACAATATTGTATCATAGTCGGTGCAGTGCCCAAAAGGTCCCGGCTCGTCATAGTGCTGCAGCAGACTACAGCGTCGATTTTTACCCGAGGTTTGCCAATGCTCGCTAGCATTGCTATAATATTCCGAGAACGGACTCGCAACCATGCGGTCGCGTAGCGCTCGCAACTATCGCATACGCATTTGTGTTTTTTATAAATAATATTAAATTCAAACAATAGGATACTATGGATTCAATAAATTTACAGGTCCCAAATTCCATGTAAGTGGCATTCCATATCATATAAAAGTCTGATGTAATTGTAGTGGCTGATTGTACCACTTGGATGCGACAGCTTTATATATCCAGGAGTTTTTGTATACCAGAACCAGTATGTATTAGAAAAGGTTGTCCCTGTCCTTTAACATAAATTATTTATAAAATATAAACGTGGCATATTTTTTTATTATAATTACAAATAATTTTCACTTTATCTTCCACATCATTAAATCTCACATATATGAACTAGTAAAGAATCTATACTTTCAACGACAAGAGTCAGCTAATCTGCTATTATATATAGCTCATAATTGAAAAGTAACGAATGTAAGAAAACACATTCATGAATATTTTGATTGGATTTAATTTAGAATGCTACCAAATGTTTCACTGAAAGAGTCAACATCAGTAATGACATTGTATCATATAGGTAATTACATTTATATTCACCATTGGATAGTTCACTGGGAATTTTGCTGGCAATAAACGAAATATTCTGGGATTTTAGTTATATTATTTTAATGCCTACTTCTGTTTCTAGTACATAGATAATCATAAATTAATTTAAATTTACATTAAATATTTAAAAAAATACAGAAGATTTACCTAACACTCCCAGTTAATTCGCACTTTAGGAATGCTGCCGGCAATATTCCCAGTATATGTACCAGCCCTTGGCAATATACCCGGGCACGGTACACCACTAGCTGTAGCAGTGCCTTGAGTGGACTGCAATCTATTAGAAGTGTATGTAAAAAGGCATTGACAACGGAAGAAACAAGTACGCTTACTTATAACTCTGACAGCTAAATTGGAATTTAGCGAAGTCTGTCACCTGTGAAATGTATATTCCAATACCTAGAAAACATAAAAAACGAGTTCTATTCAATCCCAAAAAGTATCTCCTTGGTTAAAATCACAAGTATTGAGTTATTTTATCGAATAATGATACAAGCCAGAGTTACTTTATGTTCGGTGAACAAGATGTAACACTATACAAATATGTCAAAATTACTTCATTCGATTTCCTTATTACATTGGTCATAGAGTTTAAAATGACTTGCGGAATTTTAATATATTATACTGTTGTACGATAATGTTGCCGATTTTTTCTCTATATACGACAATTTTTGCTACGGAATAAGATAACCACCAACAGCGAGCCTTTGCTTGTGGACATTGGTTAGGAACTGTGATTAAATGATTTCACTAATTGTAAATGACATATTAACCATAGAAATAATGTTTGTCAACAGGAGGTCATTCAGATAGAGGTGTTGTGTAAGCAGCTGTACGAGTCCCAAGATCCAATAGTCCGGGATCAGGCTGAGAAGGCAGTGGTAGCTTTCCAGGTATAGACATATTTAATTTCAACATTATTCTCCTATAATCATATAAATTGCATCACTGGTGAATATAGCCATGAAATAGAGCTTAAAGTTTTATTAGGACGGTCAGCAAAAACAAAAAAATTAGACAACATCACATACATTGCTCAGACTCTAAGATGAGTAGGTAAAGACCCCGTATTATGGAGTATCTGAGACAACGAAGGTACCGAAACAACCAGACCCGAGACAATATAAAAAAAACGACCATTTTCTACATGGACCCAACAGGAATTACCTATGGAAATAATAAACTTATTGAGTGTTCAATAAGTTTATTATTTCCATCCATATTCCATATCCAACCTCAGACCTCAGAGAGAGAGAGAGAGAGAGAGAGAGAGAGAGAGAGAGAGAGAGAGTCGGCAACATATATTGTAACTTGAAAAATAAAATCTCATAGCCCACCACAAATGTAGAAAAGTGACGTAATACATTTTGCTTCTGCAATATCTATAGATATGCTATTAATATACAAAACAAGATAAGATATTTGGTTTTGTTACTTAGGAGTCACCAGATACATTGAGCAAATGCCAGGCGTTACTGGAAAGGTCCGATTCGAGTTACTCACAGCTGCTCGCTGCCACAACACTAGCCAAGCTCATCAACAGGTGAATATTTATAGTGTGGTATACACCTCTTTGTCTCCAAATATAGTGAAACCCGGATAAGATGATTTGCAGGGATCCAGCCAAAAATGAAACTTAATATTGCTAGCAGATCAGGGCTACAGAATATTTCTGATTTTAAGTAAAAAAAAATATGTTTCTTTTCCAATATAAATGGCATTGCATGTGTCATACACAAAACAACTTAATTAAATATGGTTCCAAACGCTTAATACCTTTTCCTTATTGCCACAACGCGTTGAGGTCGAATTGCTAGTCAGCTACCACACGAATTTCGCTATGTGGTCTATCTGTGATTGCTACAACGCGTTGTGAGCTATTTTTCCCTCAATGGGTGGTTTCGGTTCTTTGAACGTGTGTCTTCTATCTCTGATATGGATAGAGTATTATTTTTCATATAATGTCTTTTCAAAAGTGACATTATAGATGGAGAATTCATGTCAGAAATGTGCAAGAGCTTTCTAAAGCTTAATATTTCAGTATGTTGAAGTAAGCAGTAAGTAGTAAGCTGAATGGTTCCATTAATTGAAAGTCTGAGTATTTTTTTTTTTAATTAAATAACTACTAATAAATTAGTATTTCATTACACACTAATTTCTGAGATCTGCTGAGTCGCCGCCTTTATCGTTTTTTCTATCTGAGCTTAGGTTTTATTATTAAGGATAATTAATTTAACGCTAATTTTATATAATTAAAATGCACGTTTGATATATTCGATATTTGATACCAGGTGTTCGAACACCTGACTTCTGCAGTGGATACTAACTGATGTATATCCTTAGTACTGAAATATTAAGCTTTCTAAAGCTTTTGCACATTTTTGTCACGATCTCTCAGACTATACTGACGATTCGTTTTTTTTTTAAGTAGGTTATTATTTGTCATTATCTCTTAATAAAATTCACTGTGTTAATAGATCTACAACCAGTCTGTCGACGCAGCAGAGGCTGGATATAAAGAATTATGTGCTCAATTACCTTGCAACAAGGCCGAAACTCGCCAATTTCGTTATACAGGTATGTTTGCCCAATTTATTTAATGTATCCTATTTCATGATTCAATTATGTAATCATTTACTTGACATTCAACCAGTTGCACAAACGTGAATTAAAATTTTCATTAGTTTATAGCGACATTATCCATACAAATTTGACATTCATTAGAGCTTTAAGGAGTTATTAAATCCTAATGGACGTTTGTGCAACTGACCGATTGTATGTCAATAGTTTCCGAGCTAATGTGACGATATACAGCTACGGATGGACTTTTTAACCAGAGCAGGAACGTGATAATTTTCCCAATTTTGGATTTTTTCCAGTTAAATCCTATCTCTAGTTACGACGGTCTTCAATTTAACATTATAATAACTAAATTTGTTTATTACTAGCTTTCCGCCAGCGGTTTCGCCAGCGTGGTCCTATATTATACATATAAACCATCTTCTATCACTCTGTATATGGATGAAAATCACATTAAACTCCTTTGTGCACTTTAAAAAATCTCTGTGTGCAGACAGCGGGATGAGACCCTGTTTTATATTATGTATAGATAAACCTCTTCGGTCCCACCTCTTATAGTTCGCATGAAAGTAAACATCTGGCGGCGGCTTGAAAATAATATAATATTATATATATTTTGAATTATCAATATATAACCATTATAATCGATGTAAAAAAGACGTATGTTTCTAAAGTAAAAAATCAATTATCACGCGTTTGAAAGTAGCATACTTTCTTTCGCGCCATTTTTTTCTCCCGATCTACACACGATTTTGGTATTTGTTTTTTGTGAAAATATGATAAACATTCATTTTGCTCCTGTTTTTCTTCACTTACAATACATAGTCGCTTTCTCTGTTCCTCTGTCCATATATATGCTTGTCTTTAAAACTACGCAATGGATTTTGACGCGGTTTTTTTTCATAGATAGGGTGATTCTAAAAGAAGGTTTTAATGTATAATACAAGACCACGAGGGCGGAGCCGCTGGCGGAAAGCTAAAGTATTATATAGATAGATTACTGAAAAAAAAAACATTTTTATTTTTGCTGACCGCTGACTTGCGAACCTCTTAAGAGGCGCGCGGGAACGTCGTGTCACGTGATCAAATCCTCTTAAGAGGCTAAGGACCGAATAGATCAATGATTGGTCCCAGTACATTGTAGTATTAACTGATACGCGATTATGTGTTTTATGTTGCAGGCCCTAGTGTCGCTATTCGCTCGCATCACAAAGTTGAGTTGGTTCGATATACTGAAGGAGGAGTTCGTGTTCCATAATGTTATGAACGACGTCGGCACATTCCTACAGGTAACATACGTTTGATTTGTATGCCACTACAGAACAGGGGTAACCCCTGGTAAAAGAAAAGAGTTTGTCCGTTTTTCTGTTAAATCCATCAGTCAGACAATAGATAAAATCAGATGTGTATTTTTTTTTTTGCTTGAATTTGACAAGAAATGGTTTGGTTAATATGCATTGGAGTTGAGGAGTGGGAGCTCGCTACTTTAAAACCAGTCATAACTTATATGTTTCAATGTAACACTGTAATTTATTGATTACGCAAAAAAAAAAAACAAAAATGTACTTGACTGATAGACAGAGAAAAATTAGTCAGCATTCTGATATAGAGTTTTATGGGTAGCGATAAATTCATCATCAGCTTATGCTCGTCCACTGCTCTCTCGGCCTTTTCAAGCGTACACCATCTAACACGATATATATAGTTTACTTTAATGCTCACATTATACATTTGAATCATTGTCCGTTTGAACACCTCATTTAGGAACATACTATACCCACTTGCTACTAAAAAGAAGTGTCTAGCTCTAAGTATTATTTTAAAAAAGACAAACTTTTCTATAGTACTGATAGGAAAATTATTAATTTAGTTTTCAATTTAACAAATGGAACACACCGAAAGGGTCTGGCTTAAAGCCAGATAGAAGGCAAACCTGCTATCATCATCATCAGCTATTTTAAATCCACTCTGCAGGGGCTCAGGTCTTCCGTATGGATGGTTAAGGAAGATGGGCCATGATCCTCTACGCTGGTTCGATGAGGATTGGAAGATATTAATGACTGCAAATGTAGCCGGGACCAACAATTTAACGGGCCTTTCGTAGCACGGAGTAGCACGAGATAATAATTTGGTTTTGGTCACCCATCCCGTGACAGACGCTCGCGAAAGCTGCTTAACATTAACGCGGGCCGTGGCGCTTATCCACTAGGTCACCTAGCTACTCTTCTTCCATTCCTTACCCTACAATAGTCAAAGTAAATGTATATTTTATAATAGAATTACGTAATTATATCTTCGAAGGGTCCAGCGGAGATGTGTACAGTCGGAATACAGCTCCTATCACAGCTTGTCGTAGAAATGAATCAAGTGACAGAAGCAGATGCCAACAGATCCCTGGCTAAACACAGGAAGATAGCTTCATCCTTTAGGTAATTATATACTGATATAAAAATAATAGAATAAATGCTTATATACTTGAAAATAACGACTGAACACTTACAAGAACTAGCTATCAAATTAAACCTCTATTAGATTTATTTATCTCCAAATTCTGTTAATCAGGGTTCGCAAAAATCCGATATTTACAATAAATATCAAAATATCCCATATTTTATATATATCATGCATATGAAAAGTTGCAATTTTTGAACTGCCAGTAGCTTTATTTTATATTTGATTTTTAAATCAAAAATGTAAAATAAAATTGAGTTGGAGTTATTTAATATTTGTTTATTTATTACGAAATAATTAAAAACTAGTAAGCTAGCTAGGATTTCCAGTTACATATAGGGGAAAATCCGATATAGTAAGATTGTTACTTCGGGCCAGTGTTGCTAGCATCACATCGGGTTGGTTAATACTCTAGCTGAGTCTGAATACTCAATACTCAAACTTAAAATCTTTATTATATATATCGATGTATTTTAAAATTTCTTTGGTGCTCGGCCAAAAAATAAAAAAATACTTTTAAATACGTGTTCAGTAAAGGATTGCCGTACATTTTTATTTAACACGTATTTAAAGACTCACTTTCGGTGTTTACAATGGATTAAAAAAATAGCGATTTATGAGCAACTGCATTGAAAACTAATATAATTAATCTATCGATCAGGGACACGCAGCTATTCGAGATGTTCCGTCTCGCTTGCTCTTTACTCGACGCCGCTCGCGTTAAGCCGCTGGATCTGAACGATGAGAGGCAACACGCTCTGATAGCTGCTCTACTGCGGTTGGCGCACAACTGTCTCACGTTCGACTTCATCGGCACGACCAGCGACGAGTCCTCCGACGACTTGTGCACCGTACAAGTGAGTACAAACAATGATGAACTGTGCTCACACACAAATGGAAAGTTTACAGGAAATTTCTTGATTCTAGTAGGCGAACGCGGTGTAAATCTCTGTTATCTCTAAAATGTCTGTACAAACAATGATGCTCATACACAAATGGAAAGTTTACAGGAAATTTCTAGATTCTAGTGGGCGAACGCGGTGTTATCGCTAAAATCTCTTTGATGTGGTAATGTGTTAGCATTAACTAAAGAATTATAAAATAACTAGCTTTTGCCCGCGACTTCGTTCGCGTGGTAAAGTAACTTTGAGTAGCATTTCTAACGAATATTTATTCATTATATCGTGCGAAATACCTGAAATAAAGTTGCATCTCCTAATTTATCCCCTTGGGGGTAGAATTGATCAAAATCCTTTCTTAGGAGATGCCTTAGTCATATTTATGCTTGCGGAATCTCAGCCTGATCTGGACAGTTTATGTAGATAATATTTGGTCTTTGAATGATTAAAATTGGACGTTTGGTTTTGAAGTTATAGCGAAATTTAAAAAAATATTACGATTTCTGCTGCACGGCCCGTTGCAAAGAGGGCGTCACCAAGGCTTAGATCTATGAGTAAGGTACCAGCGGACCACGCGGGCCAAGCCGCTGGCGGAAAGCTAGTTATACATAAAAACTTTCTTTTTGAATCACCCTATCTATGGAAAAAACCGCATCAAAATCCGTTGTCTAGTTTTAAAGATTTAAGCATATGTGGGGAACATACAACATTACATATTTATTTATTTATATATATTCACTAACATAAACAACACTACTAACATAAACATAGACATTTCACATTCACGTAAAGAGTTCATTGTCATAGATTTTTTAAACACTCTGGCAATTATAAAAAGAGTAATAAAAAAGAATAAAGTTAAATTGATATATACTCTCTATTCGAATAATTTTGTGAATTTGTTTCAATATTATATTTTTAAGACTGAAAATTAGAAAATGTATACAAACAAATTTTGTAAGATAGTGAATATATTTAATTATTTTTAAATTGTGTACATTATTGAGAGATTTATTTTCATCACTACTGGATATAGGGACAGAGAAAGCGACTTTGTATTATACTAGTAGAACCTCGATAACTCAAACCTTGGTAACTTAAAAACCTCTATAACTTCAAAAAATAATATGTTCTCTTCCCATCAGAACCCAAAACCTCGATAACTTAAAATACGCAACCTCTATAACTTAAATAAGTAATCTCTGTTTTGGCCCTCGGTAACTTAAAGAAGTGCTTCCACAACCTCTATAACATAAAATTGTTTATCAATGAGTCATTTTGAAAGAGTGTGCAAAACAAAAGGTTTCGGTATTTATTGCTTGCACGTGTTCACTAGTTAAATTGTTAACGTAAAAAATACATATTTCACATATCGTTTGCTTCTTCGAAATTTTTTAAATCGATTTAGAAACTGAATTCTTTAAAACAAAAAAAAAATCACAGACTTTTTTAAGTAGACTAAACCTTTAATAGTTGTTTTATTTTTATTTAACGTGTGCAATGTCAATAAATAAATATGATTATTTAAATTTCTGTATATGATTGAACCAGTCCTTCTGACGTAGTCGAGTAAAAATAGGAACAAGGGTACATACATACATATATACATACCTACCTCTATATTAACCTATTCCTATAACTTAAACCTCTATAACTTAAAGTATTTTGTGTTTCCCTTGGACTTTAAGTTATTCTACTGTATTTAGTGATTAAACGGTTTGATTTAGATCCCTACGTCGTGGCGTCCGACATTCCTCGAGTCCAGTACCCTGGACCTGTTCTTTGAGCTGTACCACCTGCTGGGCGGCGGGCTGGCGTCCCTCTCGCTCGCGTGTTTGGTCCAACTGGCCTCCGTCAGGCGGTCGCTGTTCAGCAACAACGAGCGGGCCAAGTTCCTGACCAGGCTGTGCGCGGGCGTGCTCAGGATATTGGAGAACACACAGGTGATCTATCGATATCTAATCAGAATCGATAATTCGGTCTAGGCTTATATATAACGGCGTGTAGTCAGAAGGGGCTATTAATAAGCCCAAATAGATCGTCCATATCGGAGGACTATCTTTAAAATAACACTGCAGGCGTGTATACCAATGTGGATCTGTTACATTTTATAACTTTTCATACGAAAATATAACGAGATGAGCGTGATGTCGTCGGATGTTTTTACTCCTTGGCGATCGGAAACAGAATGTGTGCCAAAATGGCGGCAACTTGCTTTTTGTTAACGAACTGGCAAAGTCAGTGTCACCACTCTAATAATATTGAGTCAGTGTTGATCGCGCGTGCGTGCGTGCGTGTGAGCGTGCGTGCGTGCGTGCGTGCGTGCGTGTGCGTGCGTGCGTGCGTGTGTGTGTGTGTGTACTATTACCGCTAATCAGACTTATAATATTGCTTAAGCATGAAAAAATAAATATATTATGCTCGTTGTCACGTGATCGCGAACAGCGCGTGACGTCACGCCTTTCTTACTCAAACCAGAACTAAGAGAATTGAACCTTATACATACATAGAACGATATTCGTTTCAGAGTGCCGTGACGTCATAGCAACGCCATGACAGAAGTGGCGGTTTTTAGGGAAATATTGTCAGATAAATTTATTATTGGATTTTAAACTTATTAAACGAATGATACTTGTGTAAATAATACATTTTATCTAATTAAGAAAAAATACTTAGCATTTTTTTTTATTATTAAAAACTCTAAACAGCATTATGGACAGCGGAATATGGAACTGTCAAGTATCAATCTATCCGTTTTGTTTATTCCGTATATACTTTACTCTTTGGACGTTTATGTTTGTTGATTCATGGTCAATCGATGATGATTGGACCATGAGTACTGCGGTACTGTACTGTATTAATTTATAATGTGCTAATTCGCTTGTTAAGTGTGAACTTAAAAGCATTTATATATAAACAATAAATAGGGTATTAAACATTGATAAAAAACATGGAGGCTTATTATTTCTTTTTATGGTAGTGAAAAGTTAATTGAAAACTGGACCCGTTGAAAGTAAATTTGGCTTGACGCAAGTCATTACGAATCTCCATACATAAAAGGCATTCTCCTTTAATAGTCGGTTTTTTTTTTATCTGTGATGTCATACCAGCCGAAATATATATACATCTTTCACAGATTATTCCTAAACAGTTGTCTATTTATTTTATAGCATATTTCTAGATGGATCTGTTGTTACCCCATTTATAATGTTCAGGTCTTAGGAAGAAAGGCATCAACCTATAATAACTGAGTCCCCCCTTCCTTTATTGTTATACGTCTAATATGTATTTGTATTGTTGACAGGGTTTATCAGATTTAACAAATTACCACGAGTTCTGTCGCCTGCTCGCTCGTCTAAAATCTAATTATCAACTCGGCGAACTCGTGATGGTGGACAATTACCCAAGGTTGGTCGAGCTCATCGCCAAATTCACAGTGCAGAGTCTACAGGTGAGCTTGATATAACATCATCAGCCCTTCTACGTCCCAACTTCAGGGCTTTGGGCCTTCCTTATTGATGGTGACCGAAAATGGGCCATGACCCTTCACGCTGGCCCGATGAGGATTGGAGGGTATTAACGACTGCAGATTAACGTACCTTCGAGCTCGAGATAATAATTTTTTGGTCACCCATCCCGTGACCGGCGTGTTGCTTAACAACAACGATCGCGGCCCACGGCGGTTATATACTACGCCACCGAACTACTCTAGAGCGGGATCTATACTAATATTATAAATGGGAAAGATTTTATTGAAGGCAAATTCGCGAATGAAAAAGCTAATATTTCATAATGTGGCTTAGAAAAACCAAAATTCTATAATGTCTACCTTCGTTGTCTATAATATTCCATAATACGAGGTATTTAGCTACTTATCTTGCAATCTGAGCAAAATGTGTCGTTGTGTAATTTTTATTTTATGTCAAAACAAATTAATTAAATCGGTGCATACACATACAATATTTAACAATATTAATTAATTACATCAATAAAAAAGTAACATCACAATGATTGACAAATTATCCGTTCTAACAGTCTTTTTAGTAACCCTAATGTATTTTCTAGTGGACGATTAGTCCTTCTATTACCTCTAAAGTATTTCCAAATGTTCTAATAATCCAATTACCTGTAAAGTACGTCCTAATAGATCAATAGTCCGTTTATTACCCATAAAGTATTTTCTAATGGACAAATAGTGTATCTATTTATAGTGTTAGTGAATATTTAAATCATAAAAATAAGTAACGAATGCATATGTTGAGAATTGTGTAATGTCTTTAAATGTGTGATTTTTTTTTTGTTTGTTATTATTTTTGTTTTTTTTTTCTTCAATTGGACATTGCCTACTTTTATATTGATACTGATTTTATAATTTAATTTGATTGACATTCTTCAAGTGGGAATCATTATTGTACTCTATAATAGTTTTATGGACAATGTTATTTCTAATTTAATAATTTCGACATACATATATCCAATGTGACTTTGTAATTTTATCAATATTTGCATGCTATAGCTGATGGCTAAATGGGCTGAACTCAAATTTTAATTCAATCTACAATGTACCTCATTTAAAAGCAAATAAATTATTATTATATTACCTCTAATGTATTTCCTATTTTACTCATAGTCCATCTATTACCTGTAAAGTACGTCCTAATAGATTAATAGTCCGTTTATTACCCATAAAGTATTTTCTAATGGACAAATAGTGTGTCTATTACCTCTAATGTATTTCCTAATTTACTTATAGTCCATCTATCACCCTAAATGTGTCTCCTAATGTACTAATGGTCCGTCTATTACCACTAAATTATTTTCTAATATATTAATAGTCCATCTATTACCCTAAAGTAATGCCTAATTGACCAATAGTCTTTTTGTTACCCCTCAAGTATTTTCTAATTGACTGAAGGTTTGTCTTTTACTCTTCCTAAAATATTTCCTAATAATGTTTATAACATATATCCTGTTTAAGGGCATTCGAAAAAACATGACGAAAGCGATACGAGCTGGAATCAGCAAATTATAGTGCCGTATTCAACCAAACTCAACAACTAGCGGATAGGAAACTAAAATAACAATATTTCACAGTGATATTTTTGTTCCTATACATATAGTAAAACGTATTGTTCACTTTCAACCCTTTTAACTTGCCCTGGAGAAATATAACACCAAAATTGATGCAGTAAAAATAAAAAAAAAATATTTTTAAGTTAATATTTTTAAAAAATAAACAGACTTATAA